CCTGCCAATAGATGTGTGAAAAATGCCTGTTTCTTAGTTATTCCTAATCATTGTATTTATAATGAGGAGGGCACAAAATGGTACATGTTTAATTATAAGAAAGCACAAGTGTATAAATAAGACAAATGTATTTTTTAATTTCTACAATTTCATAATTCTTAACTAAATATATGTCTTCTCTGCCTTGTTTTCATTTTTGTGAGTATAGGATTGCAAATGTAAAGGCTATGGTACTGAGATTTAGCTGGATCACAGCAATAGGTTCTTATGCAATTCAGTAAAAAAAATTGAAATATATTCCTGATTTCTAGTCTATGACTATTTTCTGGAATTTAATACCAAAAATAAATTTTAAAAGAATATGTTTTTCTTGTCATTTAAACATTTAAATTTGTGATGACCTCAGTCAATTTTTGTAGAAATGTCAAGATGCTATGACGTAATTATGAAGAAATGAAATAATTTCAGTCTAGAATTCAGTTCTGGTCTCAGCTGATTAGGTGGGCAACTGCACCTAGAGCTACATTAATGAAATTAACAGATATTCTAGGCTAGCATTTCCCAACCTGACACCTCTCAGATGTGTATGTGCTACAACTTCTGGAATCTTGGATACTTCCCTTCCAACCCATCTGGAGGATACCAGATTGTGGAAGCTGCTGTCTGTTTCAGCTCTTCATTGGACTGTGATCTTGGAAAGGAAAGAATCTGGCCCCATCTTACTTTTGATTTTAGTTTTAACAATTTTTTTCTGAATCAGCTTCATTCATCATTTTCTGTTCTACATATAAATTCCTTGGTGCACAATAGTTTTGCCACTTTGAAATTGTCCACCCATCATGTTGACTCCTAATAATATGTCTGCTTTTAAGAGTATAAAATGACATATTCATCATATTGCCTTAGATAGCAAATGATCTATGAATGTTAAATATGCATTAGATTCCCCCCTACTTTATAGAGGAGACATGATGGCTGCTTTTCACATAACACCCAATTTAAGGCTACCAGATCTGGTCTGCAAAACCAGTTCAGCTTTCTGTCTCTATTATCTAACAGTCATCTGGATTTCTACAGCCCAGAACTGATAGCCCTATTTAACCTGGTTACTGAATCAACCTATTTTTCTGGATTTGGACAATATTTCATACAAGGAACCAAATGAATTGAGTTTGTACAACATGCTAAGCCAACAAACCAAACCAAAACCAAGCTTAAAATAACAAAGCTTACATCTTATGGAACTGCTAGGAGCTGTTAGCTCATGTGTGAATACAGCCATCATATATTACTTTCTAGGTGGTATTCAGTAGGTTAATATTTGAGCCACACATTTTAATTTGTAAATAAAGATTTTCTCAACATTGTAAATGAAAAATTACAATATGTTTTATTCTCTCCTAAAAGTTCAGAAAAGGAGAAGGGTGACTCTGCCAACTGGGCTTCTAAAGTGGCATAAAATGGAGTGAAATTATTTCAGCCCCAGAAACTCAGAAAAGATTTATCATTCTAATTCCAAACAACCTAATCATATCTCCTCACAATTCATATCCAACACAGTTCAGTGTAATTACTTCCAAATTCTCCTTGTGGATAGATTTCCAGTCTTAATCTGAGACTTTTGAAGTAGGGCAGTATATAAATGTATGTATGTATGTATGTATGTATGTATGTATGTATACATATATGTATGGATAAGTAAATTTGATTAAATATTTAATTAAACATTTGTTGTTAATGTAGCACAACTGTATGGAAGTGAGAGCAAATCAAAGATAAATCCCACTGAGAAGCAAGATGTTTCCACTAGATTCTCCATTTTAAAGATAAGGAAGTTTTCCATATTAACATCATCAACAAAATGAGTTCACAAGCCCAATAGTATGATGCATTGGAATATGCCCAACAACTTTTTCCTCTGGTGGGAAACAACCTAAGGGGCCAAACTGTAATCCTGTCAACCTTCATGAAGAAAACAGACTCTTCCATGACCAAAACAAGGAATGCTTCTCCAAAGTATCTGTAGAATCAGATGGCTGTGAAAGTCTCTCCATGAGCAACCAAAGTCTGATCTTGCCATGGCCAATGCTTCTAATTCATTCCCGAAGGATATTTTTTACCCTGCTCATTCTCAGGACTCCAGCAGTGACATCAGCACAGCTAACCTCCTCTTGCTGAGCAGGCAGAATCGTCTAATGAATGGGAATAATCAAAACTTCCACACATCATCCCCTATGGGAAGAGTTATCCTTATCAACACACCACTGGAAGGTACTTTTGGGGTAAAGAGGGGAGACCACAGTACACAGATGACATTACTCATATCTGCATCTCTGATTTCTGATGCAGTTTATGAATAGTCACCCAAGATGAAAATCAAATTTGCAAATCTTATTAGCAGCTTGTCTTCAAAGTATAGTATGCTTTTAATGGACATCAGTGAAAAGTTCTACTAGCTGTACATTTGCATGACATCGATAACCATTATCCACATATTTACTTATTGTTTATTTATAGACTTCTACCCTACTTTCCTACATACACACATCATTGAAATAATGAAGAAATATGGTTACAAGCTGCATAAGATTTAATACCAGTAGTCAACAAGAATAGCATGACCATCTTCTACATATAGTGATGAGTTTTAGTATATGGCCTTCCACAATCCTCTACAGCCTTCCAGGTGTGTTGGACTACAAATTTCATAAATCTAAGCTGACAGGGTCAACAGGTATACTGGCTAGGAATTATAATCCTACATATCTGAAAGGCCATTGGGAAGGAAAGTTTGTTCTAGTAGAAAAGAAAAAAAAGTATGTATGAAGGGACAACACTGAACAACTGCCAAGTCTCCCTAGATAGTAATCAAGGAATGAGCCAGGACCACACTTTACAGTTTGGGGAGGGTGCAATGAGTTGGGGGAATGATGAAATAGACAGTTGTGTCTCACACCTGTGGACAGGAGCAGGATTTTCTGGGGGTTTTTTCCTGGATTGGGTGGAGTGTTTTGTTTGTTTTTTGTAATTTTTAAACTATTTTAGGGTTTAGACCACATTTGTGTGTCTTTCCCATGTCAAAACAACAGCCATGGTAATTGGAGAGATCTCAAGGGGTTGATCTTATGCAGCAGCCATGGAGTCTTGGCTGTCCACTTCTTAAGTAACCTGTCTGGAATGTTATAACGCAGCCTGAGGCCTCTGGCTCCAGCCTACTTCAGTATTATTCGTGAAACTGGTATGTCACTTTGAAAAAAGGCTAATCTGCACCCAGTCCAGAAATATGTCTAAACATTTCTCCTGATTTTCTGTCTATGGAGCTAGGATTGTGTTTTGGATGCAAGATTAGCATCAGCTGAGCATGTCAGTTCATTGAGTCATTTTGAAGCTACACCTTCATCGCTATTTTGTTCTATATTCCCTTCACAGCTAACAGTGATGAGAGTGATGCTATCAATGCCATTACAGTGGAGAAGAGCAAAGAGGGGAAGCTGGGTTTCAGTGTGCGTGGGGGCTCTGAACATGGCCTGGGTATTTTTGTCAGCAAGGTGGAAGAGGGCAGCAGTGCAGGTCAGTAAAATGGCTTCAACATTCCCAGATTCAAGCACAGGCAACAATCTGCTTATAATTTATTAGTATAAATCTGCATTCTGGGTTCAATGCTAGTCACTTCCTCTCTAGAACATATCCTGTGTCTGGATATTGCAACAAAATCCAGGCAAAATAATGTCACTGAAAGGTCACTCATCAAATATTTTTCTTTGTATGTCATATTGCTAAATCTGACATTTTAGAATGTTTTACTGATGTTCTGGAAAATACCACAATATGTCAAGATTTCCATATATTTGCTTATGGCCATTGTGAACAATGAGCATTTTGATAATGTGAAGACAAAAAGTTATCAAGTATTTCAAAATACTTGAAAAAAACCTACAGTTTGACTATATTTATGCATATAGTCCAAAAGAGATACAGCTCAAAGCAAATATTTATCTTGAAATTTGGTTAACATACTTTGTGCCCTGCAATATATGTGGATGGATAATTATTCAAAGTTCTAATCTATTTTAATGTTAATAAGTTGCTGTAGTTTGTCTCTTTGTTGTTTTAGTAGTTCTTTAATTTTAGTGAGCCCGGAAAAAGAAAATCTATGAAGCTGAGCTCTTTCTGTTTAATATAAACAGAACAGGCTGGACTTTGTGTTGGGGATAAAATCACAGAGGTGAACAGCGTGAGCTTGGAGAACATTACAATGGGAAGCGCCATCAAAGTCCTGACAGGGAATAACAGGCTGCGAATGGTTGTGAGACGCATGGGCAAAGTGCCAGGGATAAAGTTTTCCAAAGAAAAGACTACATGGTAAGTGGAGCTGCCAATTTATACCCATTGCCAACTTATACCCATTGTTAACAGGCCATAGATAACCCCAAAATCACAATTGTATGGACTCAGACAAGTGCACTGGCTTCAGAAGAGCAGTGACTGAAGGATTAGGTTTCCTGAGATGCAGGGAGATGCTATTAGAGTGAACTCTGATAGGGAACCAGAGATGGAAGGGTCAAAAGAAGTGTTGTCCAAACTTGGCCACTTTAAGATGAGTGGACTTCTTAAGATGAGTGGAC